TAGCGAGCGAACCAAAAGAGACTGGAATAATGCAAACATCTTTCTAGTACCAGTAGCTATATATTTATGTTTCTCAGCGTAGAAAACATTTATTTTCTCCTCCATTACACACAAATACACCTCGTGTAGTACTATCTGTCTTACATTCCCGTTCGTTTGCTCCGGTAATCGAGCTGTGTTGTGTTGTGTTGTGTCTCTGGCGCTGACTCAGCATCTCTGCAGCCGGGCTATTGGCTCGCAGGCTGGGTTGAAGCATCGACGGCGCACTTTTACAATTTTATAACCGGCAAAAAGCAACTTTGTTGGGCCTTACAATTACATTCGAGCGTCTAGTGTTCCACTGCGGCAGGCGATTCCCTATCGCGAAATCAACATAAGTCAGACATATGAGGCGAATGAGATACTAGAGAGAGAGAGAGAGAGTGTGTGTGTGTGTGTGTGTGTGTGTGTGTGTGCGCGCGTTTTTGTGACAAATGAGGACATAAATTTGTATAATGACAAGGGTATGACATAGGTATTACAAGGAGAAGGTGACTTTTCAGGACATTACCCCATGTCCCCACTTTTCAAAACGCTTATAAATCACACAGAATGGAGTGTATTGAAAATCTGAAATAGCACAAAGTTTCCTGTGAGGGGTAGGTTTAGGGGTAGGGTTTGTGTAGGACAATAGAATATACGGTCTGTACAGTAGAAAAACCATTACGCCTATGGGATGTCCCCACTTTTCACAAAAGCAAACCTGTGTGTGTGTGTGTGTGCGTTATATATGCTTCCATCATCCAAGAACTAAATCTGGATGTGAGCATCACTGTCATTAGCAAAATGCCACTTTCCTCTCTTGATTGTCAGGTTCATATTTTCTATTGATTAACTGTCATTTGTATTGATCAAGTTCCTTTGCGAAAGCTTCTCGTAACCTCTGACATATGTGTACTGTATTTCCCATCATGCCTCACTGCTGCCAGTATGTGTGCTGATTTTACTCGCCATGGCTGTTATCTGGTTAAATTATTTAAGTGCATGGTAAACTGCAGTTTTATTGGGTTAGTCTTATTATCATCATCATATATTAATATCACAACATCTTGGAGACCTGCGCCCTGCTAAACTTCTTTTAATATACATTTACATTAGAATTCAAGATGCGTTTTGATCCTCTGGGAACTTCCTTATGAGGAAGATGTAATTATTGTTTTAGGAAGGCTCTTGGTCGTTTATTATGCATTGGAGTGAAAAGACTCCCGTGTGATCTATAAAATGAATTAGAAAACTTCTTATAACCTTGGTACTTTGCTGCATTATTGAAAATTCCTGACAACAGAGGCCAAATCCTCAGTGCATCAGCTCAGGCTGACAGCCGAATGGCTTTGTCTTGGCATGTGCACCGATTCAAGAGTGTCAGTGTCTATAGTAAAGCAAAATATCTTTAATAAAGTGATCAGTTAAAGAGGTAAATGTTATTATGCATGCAGTTTCATGAGTGCATATTAATTCAGAGACTAAATAGAATATATAATACAATTATATAAACTTATTACATATATAATAAAATGACATATAACAAAATTATTTGTCAGCCATTATTATTTAAACTTAAAAGAGAAAAATTTATTAACAACGATAACCAGTTACAGCATCTAAAAATTCCCTATATATTTTCATACATTTTAAAGTCAAATTTTAATTAAAATAATAATAACCTTGCATTATTATTATCTTGTCATTAACTTCATTTTCTTATTTATTTATTTGTTTGTTTGCTTGTTTGTTTATTTTCATTTGATTTTTTTTTGTAATGTAGTGCTGCGTCGTTCAGCCTGTGATAAATATTAATTATATTTTGTTCACTCACTCCACCTCACTGTAGAAACTGCATTTTGTGTATTTGCATTGCTCTGCATGTGCAATAAACCTGACTTTGCTTAAGTTTGCATGCATAAAAATACCAAAGATATTTAAAATGAATCCGAAGCAAAATTTATTGGCAAAGAATGTTGCACTTGCAAGGCATTTAACTTGGTGGTTTGATCCAAAGGACACAGCTAATTCAGAATAAGGCTAAAGGCAAGTTCTACACAAGGATTGGAAATATTTATTTATTTTGATTAAATACTGATGGAGCAAATAAATATTTTGTACTCAAAACAGCATTTTTAAATCTTTTATTTTCACATAAAATCACAAAATTTATAGAAAGATAGATGATTTTTTAAAGAAGTTAAAATGTGACACTGAAGACTGGAGTAATGATGCTAAAAATTCAGCTTTGCTTCACAGGAATAAATGACATTTTACAATATATTGAAATATAAACCAGCTCTTTTAAAAAGTAATAATATTTCACAATATTACTGTATTTTTGATTGAATAAATGCAGAGACTTTTTTTTTTACAAAAACATTAGAAATATCTTCATTTATCCAAACTTTTCACAGACACAATACACGTTTAATCATGTAGATAAAGATTGCAGCTAGAGTGAGCATATAAAGTCTAGCTGCAATAGGATAAAGTGATTTAAAAAGAGAGAAAAAATGCAGCAAGTGCACTAAACAACATGTGATACATCTGAGTCGGTTTTAATGATGCAGAAAGTCACAGCCTCTTGACTTCACCTTTTATACAATTTTAAAAGACTTCGACTATTTTGGGGCATTGAGGTGAATTGCTGAGCAACCCAACTGTATAATGACAAGGGTATGACATAGGTATTACAAGGAGAAGGTGACTTTTCAGGACATTACCCCATGTCCCCACTTTTCAAAACGCTTATAAATCACACAGAATGGAGTGTATTGAAAATCTGAAATAGCACAAAGTTTCCTGTGAGGGGTAGGTTTAGGGGTAGGGTTTGTGTAGGACAATAGAATATACGGTCTGTACAGTAGAAAAACCATTACGCCTATGGGATGTCCCCACTTTTCACAAAAGCAAACCTGTGTGTGTGTGTGTGTGCGTTATATATGCTTCCATCATCCAAGAACTAAATCTGGATGTGAGCATCACTGTCATTAGCAAAATGCCACTTTCCTCTCTTGATTGTCAGGTTCATATTTTCTATTGATTAACTGTCATTTGTATTGATCAAGTTCCTTTGCGAAAGCTTCTCGTAACCTCTGACATATGTGTACTGTATTTCCCATCATGCCTCACTGCTGCCAGTATGTGTGCTGATTTTACTCGCCATGGCTGTTATCTGGTTAAATTATTTAAGTGCATGGTAAACTGCAGTTTTATTGGGTTAGTCTTATTATCATCATCATATATTAATATCACAACATCTTGGAGACCTGCGCCCTGCTAAACTTCTTTTAATATACATTTACATTAGAATTCAAGATGCGTTTTGATCCTCTGGGAACTTCCTTATGAGGAAGATGTAATTATTGTTTTAGGAAGGCTCTTGGTCGTTTATTATGCATTGGAGTGAAAAGACTCCCGTGTGATCTATAAAATGAATTAGAAAACTTCTTATAACCTTGGTACTTTGCTGCATTATTGAAAATTCCTGACAACAGAGGCCAAATCCTCAGTGCATCAGCTCAGGCTGACAGCCGAATGGCTTTGTCTTGGCATGTGCACCGATTCAAGAGTGTCAGTGTCTATAGTAAAGCAAAATATCTTTAATAAAGTGATCAGTTAAAGAGGTAAATGTTATTATGCATGCAGTTTCATGAGTGCATATTAATTCAGAGACTAAATAGAATATATAATACAATTATATAAACTTATTACATATATAATAAAATGACATATAACAAAATTATTTGTCAGCCATTATTATTTAAACTTAAAAGAGAAAAATTTATTAACAACGATAACCAGTTACAGCATCTAAAAATTCCCTATATATTTTCATACATTTTAAAGTCAAATTTTAATTAAAATAATAATAACCTTGCATTATTATTATCTTGTCATTAACTTCATTTTCTTATTTATTTATTTGTTTGTTTGCTTGTTTGTTTATTTTCATTTGATTTTTTTTTGTAATGTAGTGCTGCGTCGTTCAGCCTGTGATAAATATTAATTATATTTTGTTCACTCACTCCACCTCACTGTAGAAACTGCATTTTGTGTATTTGCATTGCTCTGCATGTGCAATAAACCTGACTTTGCTTAAGTTTGCATGCATAAAAATACCAAAGATATTTAAAATGAATCCGAAGCAAAATTTATTGGCAAAGAATGTTGCACTTGCAAGGCATTTAACTTGGTGGTTTGATCCAAAGGACACAGCTAATTCAGAATAAGGCTAAAGGCAAGTTCTACACAAGGATTGGAAATATTTATTTATTTTGATTAAATACTGATGGAGCAAATAAATATTTTGTACTCAAAACAGCATTTTTAAATCTTTTATTTTCACATAAAATCACAAAATTTATAGAAAGATAGATGATTTTTTAAAGAAGTTAAAATGTGACACTGAAGACTGGAGTAATGATGCTAAAAATTCAGCTTTGCTTCACAGGAATAAATGACATTTTACAATATATTGAAATATAAACCAGCTCTTTTAAAAAGTAATAATATTTCACAATATTACTGTATTTTTGATTGAATAAATGCAGAGACTTTTTTTTTTACAAAAACATTAGAAATATCTTCATTTATCCAAACTTTTCACAGACACAATACACGTTTAATCATGTAGATAAAGATTGCAGCTAGAGTGAGCATATAAAGTCTAGCTGCAATAGGATAAAGTGATTTAAAAAGAGAGAAAAAATGCAGCAAGTGCACTAAACAACATGTGATACATCTGAGTCGGTTTTAATGATGCAGAAAGTCACAGCCTCTTGACTTCACCTTTTATACAATTTTAAAAGACTTCGACTATTTTGGGGCATTGAGGTGAATTGCTGAGCAACCCAACGACCTCCATCTTCATCGATTTTCCAAGGGGAGGGTGCTGCTCCTGCCTCGTTAACAAAGTAAGCCGGCGTATAAATACAACAGGACAGAACGCATCCATGCCCTCACCACACCACCAATTCACAAGCACCATTCACCATGGACATGATAGTGACCTCCCGCAGAAGGGCTCTGGAGACACGGAGTATCCGCGCGCGGTCCTCCACTATGCGCTCGTGGGCTAAAAGCAGTCCTCTGTCTTTCAAAAGATCCACAAATATGGCCGCATCCAGGGCTGCGTACAGCCCCGCCGTGCTCGCGTCTCCGGAAGGCTTCGAGCTGAGCGCGGCGCTCAGTGGAGATCCGGTGCGCAGTAACGAGAAGGAGCAGCTCCAGGGGCTCAACGACCGCTTCGCCAGCTACATCGACAAGGTTCGCTTCCTCGAGGAGCAAAACAAGCAGCTGGAGGCAGAGATCCAAGCGCTGAAGCAGCAGAACTTTTCGCAGTCCCTGCAAAGCGATGCGTACGACCGCGAGCTCCAAGACCTGCGCTGCGCCCTGGAGCAGCTCCACAAGGAGAAGGCGCAGATGCTGCTCGACATGGACCACGTGGATGAGGATCTGCAGCGGTTCCGGGAGCGCTACGAAGATGAAGCCAGGCTCAGGGAGCACACGGAGGCTGCGATCCGGGGCATGAAGAAAAACAAGGACGACTCGCTTCTGATGAAGCAGGAGTTGGAAAGGAAGGTCCAGGCGCTCGTGAACGAAATGGACTTCTTGCGGCAGAACCACGAGGAGGAGATCAGCGAGCTTCTGGCTCAGCTTCAAGCCGCGCAGGTGCCGGTGGTGGAGATGAGGGACCTCCAGAAGACCGACATCACCTCTGCGCTCCGGGAGATCCGCGCGCAACTGGACGGGCTCTCCTCCAAGAACCTCCAGCAGGCCGAAGAGGTGTTCAAGTGCCGCTATGCCATGCTGACGGACGCCTCGGAACACAACAAGGATGCTATGAAGTCCATACGGGACGAGATCGCAGACTACCGCCGTCAGATCCAAGCCAAGAACATTGAGCTGGAGGCTCTTCGTGGCACCAAAGATTCATTGGAAAGGCAGCTGCATGATATCGAAGACCGCCACAACACCGACGTTGCTAGTTATCAGGTCAGTTTATAAAAAAAATAAAAAAATAAAAAGTGAAAACATGATAAGTTTAACTTAAAAATATTAAATGTATAAATATTAAACGAATGAATAAATAAATACTAAAATAAAATATACAATTATCATGTATTTTATGCATAGTTTTATTAAAGAATTCAAATGTGCTCTCGATGTTTAATGATTTTTATGATCAAATCCTGCACTAGTATAATGTAAGTATGAACACTGTGCAGTTGCGCGTTGCGCAAACCACTTGAAATAATGATTTCGGGTGAGTTTACGCAGTTTTCATGATATGACGGTAATGTTTTGAACTTAGGGTGTACTTAAAGGCACGTGGCTGTTTTGCAAAACATAGAATGGCCCAAAAATGCTGCACACTATGTTTTGAAACGCAGCCATTATTTCACAGGTGGTTTGCGCACTGCGTAAAAAAACATACGTTTTTACTAGCGTTGCAGGATTTCATTTCAGTGGCCTGTTGGGTTAACTTGAGCCAGATCTGTTACAATTTATTAAACAAGTCATAAAACGGATGTAGGGTGCTACATTGGATACCAAGAGAGCATTTACACCCAAATTAGAACTTTTAGAAACGTAGTTGTTTATTAAAACTTGTTTAACAAAAATGAACAGATTTTTATTTTAGTCATGAATGAAGTTGTAAATAAATGTATTGCATCTGCTTTAACAGGAAATGATTCACCAACTGGAAAATGATCTGAAGGGAACAAAATGGGAAATGGCTCGTCATCTTCGGGAATACCAGGATCTGCTTAATGTCAAGATGGCACTGGATGCTGAAATAGCAGCTTACAGGTATAGAGTTGTGCACCTTTTTGCTTTTTTGCATGTCATTCATTTGATTAATGACAATTTTCTCTCTTAAATGCAGGAAACTGCTGGAGGGTGAGGAGACGCGCTTCCGTACCGTCTCCGGAAGTATTTCAACCCCCGTGTTTGCCTACAGCCAGCCTAAAACCTCTAAGGTCAAACATAAAATAGTGGAGGAGATCAT